ACGGCATGCACACAAACTTCCATGGACAGAGGATTGTCATGCCCTCATTGCTTTCTTCTTGTCCTTGAAGATCAACACGACCACGCTGGAAAGGGATTTGGGACACTTGCTCACACAGCTGGAGGCGCATTCCGGACCCCTCACCCCAAATGGCTCAACCATTGCCTCCATCCTCGAGGTGGCAGTTGAAGGTCCCCAGCGAGAGGAAGAATTTTTCCGGAAGCCGGAGAGCGAAGGTGCCGTGCTGACCCCAACTGACTTCGGGGTTCTTTGTGGTGAACTGTGGATTCGTCACTTTGGGCGTCGGTTCCGCATGACCTACAACAAAGAACGAAAGCAGGGGCCCAGCAAGCCACGCCAGGCACGTTCTGGAACTCTGGCTGCAATTGTCAGAGGCCGTGAAGCAGCCGCCGCCGAGGCAGCGAAGAGAGCAGAGGCAGCTGCTTCGAAAGGCAGGTCGTGGAAGCCGTCCTCTTTCGTGCCGGGCTTGAGCCTGCCTTTGCCGGCAGCGTCTGCCTCTGCCCAGAACAGCGTTGCTGGCACACGTTGGGCTTTCGCCCGCCCCACACCAGATGCCCGCAAGCATTTGGAGAATTTCCGTGCACGCACACAGCAGAAATATGACGGTGACTCAGCAGCACAACGGTTGCTTTCCGTGCTAAGTCATTTGAAGTGTCATACACATTGTCATTGTCATCCAGCCAAGGTCACCAAGAGGAAGCGCGGAGACGATCCTCTGGCAAGATTGCTTACACAACAACGGCGGCACGGCTTGGCGGTTTGCGCATGGTGCAGCACGGCCACGAGAAGGATCGGTCATCCGTCTTGCAAAGCATCCCCGCAAACGAGCTCTGAAGCTATGTCCGGTCTATCGTCGCTACACGGACAGCAAGTCGCTGCAAGGCAACAAGCATTTCCAGATTCTTGGACCGTACGAGTATGAATCCGCCGATATCCTGGTCCTCGAACAACTGTCCGATGTGGAGACGGTCCGCAGCGACCGACTGGTCCCAAGCTTTTAATTAAAATGTTTAAAGTCGGATGATGCCAGGCTTAGATCGTCACTGCTGGTACACGTTGACGTGTTTCATCCCAGGTTCCTGCCTTGATCATTGCGTACGGCTGTGGCAAAGTGCTTGCCTCCAGGGAGGCGATTCTGGCATACTTGGACAATCCGACAATTGATGCTGAGAAGTCGTTCTTGTCCTTCAACACAGCTGCAACTTCGAGGCTGGTGGGCCTTGAGATCGCCAAGAGCTGTCAACTGTTGCTCGGTGGCACAGACACTGAGGTTCAAGGGTTTCGGGTTGAAGGGTTTATTGTCTAGGGTTGGGTTTGGGTTCATTTAAGTTCAATCAGTCAGGACCCGTGCCATCGTCGAGGCCCTGCTATTCTGTGAGAAGTTGCCCCAGTCGAAGTGGCGTGTTGCTATCGGCACACCACTGCCCACTCAATTTGCTACCAAGAGGCCCACCACCTACAAGATCAATGGAGAGGCCGATATCTGGAATTTCCTCCGCACCGTCCGCGGGTTGTCCCAGAAGCGGACATTGTCCGGTGCTGGTGTACAGATGAGGCATTTGCCCCCCAAGAAACCCAAGAAAGTTCGTGCGTCATAGTCCTGTACTGCAGCAGTTAATGACAGTGCTCTTTGGCTCCTTGGCTCCTTGGCTCCCAGGTTCGCAGGCAGGAATTTTCCTGGGGGCGAATCATTTTAAGTCTAGTCGTTCGCACAGGAATGTACAGGGGGCCTGTGTCGCAAGGCAGGGTTAACCTTGTCTGGGGCAGCAGGTGCCTGCAACAGAGCCTGTTGCAAGCCCCTGCTCAATACACTGCAGATTGGTGCCAATCCGGGGCGTATTGGCAGGACAAAACGGCCTTGCAATTCACTTCCCCTGCAGTTGTTTAATTGCAGGACAATGGTAGGATGCAATACACCATGGATTGGTGCCAATCCCTGGTGTATTGACGTTCCATTTGTCCCTTGCAATAGCCTTCCTCTTTCATTTCAATACAGGCAGGATTCGCGCCAATCGCCGCGGCGCTACATCCAAGGGTGTTTTGGATGCATCCAAGGTTCCCGGCAGCTCTTGTTCCATGCATCCAAGGGTGTTTTGAGTGCATCCAAGGGTCACGTTAGCAGTGCCTTAATGATGAAAGAAGCACCTGTCACCCTTCAATGCACACGAATGACCCTTCAACGCACGCAAATGACCCTTCAATGCACATGTCACTTGTCACTGCATTGTCTGAGGCTGTTGTCGTCGACAAGCTGGACGTCGAGGGGCAGGCCCAAAGTCGTTTCATTTCAGTCATGGTTGGCTGTGTGGCTGAGTTGTCAGAACATGACAGTTGCATGCGACAGTGTGTTGTGTCAGTCTTGCCATGTCACTATCAGCATCTGATACGAGGCTTCTGCGGCAACCGGCTCCAAGGCTCCCTGGCTCACATAGGCTACTAGGTCCCAATGCCGCCTGCGAAAATGGCCGCAGCCGATCCTAAAGCAGCCGCCGCAGATATGGCACCCACCATCATCGCCGAGCCGGAGGAGAACCCAGTGATAGAGACTCAGTCTCAGAGATCTTGGTCGCGTCTCGGCTACTGTGCGCTGAGGGCAAGTGACTACGAGAAGAGTGTGGAGGCGGCTTCCGAGTTTGAGAAGGATTCCTATTACGAGTCACCGGAGATCGGCTTCCGTGCCTTGTTTCTGGCGACGAAACTGGACGCCATCACATGGCAGCGCAGGGAAGCCATGCGCAAGTTGGGGGCGGCCCCGTCTGCTGCAGACAAGCCTGTGAAGGCGAAGCTGCGCTCATCGCGCCGCCAGCTGACAGAAGCCATTGGGGAGACCCAGTTCGTGGTTCTCACACTGTTCACCAAGAAAAATCTGGCCGAAGCGTGCTCTGCAAGAGACATTGTGGTGGAGGATGGCGGCTACTATGTTCCGCTGTTCTCGGATCCTTGCCAGGAGCTGCCTTTCCACGACGAGGCGAACTGGAGCCTTGAATTCGAGTACATCGGACGCCAGGAAGTCTTTTCATTTATTGTTATTTAATTTTATATTAATTATAGGCTCAGGGGTTCAGAGGTTCATGGGTTCAAGGGTTCAGGGGTTTAGGGGTTTAGGGGTCCAGGGTATTGCGTCCGATCAAGGCACGTCATGGTGCAGGCCACGACCAGCCGCGCCTGGCAGACCCTTGCACCCGGGCCCGACCTTGGCGGGGGGTTGGGCTTCATGTGCTACACGGCGGTCAAGTCGGAGGAAGGCGGCGGCGGCGGCTTCGACATTAGCAAGGAGGACACATCTGCCCTCGTGAACTTCTTGGCCCGGAACCACGTGTTCGCTGCGCAGGGGGATCCGTTCCTTCCGGATCCCGGTGCATCCCTGTTCCCGTTTCTTCGTCCACGCACGCAGCGGCCACGTTGGGTTTTTTTGCCCTCAAGCAGCTCGACATGGACATGCTCGAGTTCAGCTGCGAGGGCGTCATCAACCAGTCACCGCCGGTTCTCCATCCGATGGGGTACTTCTGGATGCTCAAGGGCAATGACCTGGCAGAGCGGATCCGCACCGGCAACTTGAAGGTACGCAGGTCCGGGATCGAGATGGTCATCGTGAACATGAGCAACCCCAGGAAGCACTCAGACATTCTCCTTGAGGCTCAGCGCTCCAAGCTGGTGGAGCACAAACGGCGCTTGAAGGAACAGGTGGACGTCTCCAACAAGCAGCTCCGCCGCGACCAGGATGCCATCGCTGCCGTTGATGCCCAGCTGAGGCGTCTCCCAGGCTCCTAGGCTCCCAGGCTCCAAGGTCCATGTGGCGCCGGCTTGGTGTCGTCATGTTTAGATTACTCATCAGCAGCATAGTAGGATTTTGATGCTTCCTTACTTTGCTGCCAACTTGATTTAAATGGACATGTAAAGCTCAAGCCGCTCGTCGACAAACTGTGGCAGGTCCCACGACTACAAAGGACCGCTGTCGACGTCAGTTTGTGTTTGTTTGCAGCATGTCCTGCACTGCAGCAGTCTTATTGCCTTGCGCTGCACCGCAAGACTCCAAACGGTTCCGTGGAAGGCTACTCGGCTCCCAGGTTCCCAGGCTTCTGTACTCGCGCTCACTGGCAAAAGTGCCGGATTTGCCCACCGACCCAACCGTTCTGAGCTCAGCATTTTCGGAGCAGTATGACGTGTGTGATGATGATGTGTGGCACGCCATGTGAAGCAGGCCAGTGCTCAAGAAGCCCTGGCAAACATCGTGCCATGGGCCCTTCGCTGAGTTCTTGATACCGTGTCCCGTCTCGCGGCTAACAGTGCGGCATGCCGTGCCTGCCCGAGGTCCGCAGCCAGCTCCCTCTGAAGTTTCCGCAGGCCAAGCAGATGTTCAAGACACCGCCGCATGCCATCAACGCAGAAGCCAAGATGGGGGATTTGACCGGATACAAGGCGGGCGCATGTCGATCAATGTCATTTATTGTTTGACCGTTGTCGTTTGTCAGGCTGTGTGGAGCAAAGATGACTGCCAAGCGTCCCTGACATCATCTGGACTTTACGAAGCCAGTGGCCTCGCGCTGTGGCTGGCCACCGAAGCTTTTGCCAGTGCGTCTGAGGATGTGTGCTGGCAGGATCTCCAAACTTTCGAAGACGCTTTCTTCTCCAAGAAAGTTGCTTTCAGCACAGTTGTATCGCGTGAAGCTGCCAAGAAGAAACAAAAAACGTCACGAAACCGGCTGACGTGGCCTTGTGAGATGATTGTCCTCACAGAGTCAGCATCTGACGTGATTCACGAAGAGTTCAACAGCTCGTTGCATCTTGCTAGCGGCGTGTTTGTGTTGTGGGCTTGGTACTTGGCCGTCTTCAAAGCCCTAGTCTCCCAGGACAGTTGCTGCTTGTGTTCACATGACATGACATGTTATTGATTCATCTGACTGATGTGTGCTTGCACTTGGCAGGACAAAGCAGTTTTGGAGATTTTGTGGGAGTGTGGCTGCACTGTCACGATACAGGTTCGCTTGTGTTCCAGCGCAGGGGAGATTGCGAAGAGTCGCAATCTTGCTTCAGAGAAAGTCAAGGCACTCGGGCACCCTGGCCTGTCCGACACCTTTTGGACATTTGCAAAGACTGTCCAGCTGCTCAAGGTCGAAAAAGTCCAGGATGGTGAGGAACAGAACTTGAGGTACAACAACACCTTGTACAACAAGGCCTTACACCAGGCTGCAACAGCAGCTGTTGCAGTGCTGCGGGGTCCATCCGGTCCCGTGGAGAAGGCTGCCCGGAGATTGGAGCTGGAATTTGGGCGGGGCATCTTGAGCAGTCAGTACTCGAAGTTGAGCAAGCTGTTATCGCTGACCAACAAGCGCGCATCTGCTACCAGAAACGCTGTAGACCTGACGGCCTGGATGATCGACTCCTTGACGCTGGCCCTGCGCATGAACATGGTCACGCCAGCTAAATGCACCGAGAAGTTTCTGGATCGAGACCGGAAGACAGGCGATGCTGGCTTTTGGTTGTCGCGCATGCTGGTGGTGCAGGCATTGTAACTATTCTGACTAGCGTGTGTCTTTTTTTTTTTTGCGGAGTGTTGCAAGTCATCGGCAGCTTGAACACTGACAGAGGTCTTCGATTATGCAGCAAAGCTGGCGAACAAGTTGCCTGAGCCGGACAAGGTTAAGCTGACAGGGATTTTGGCTGAACTCCGTTGCCCTTCCACAGGTTGGGAGAAATATCTCTGCCATGCTGATGCTGATCAAGGGGCTGCTGGAGAGGACGACATGGACGGCGAGGACCCAGAGGACGTGGAGCGCCCTGTTCCGCAGGCCAAGATTGGAGCTGTTAAAGAGGGTTTCAACAAAGCCATTGGCATGCTTTTGGATTTGCTGCTGGAGCTGATGTCGGGGAAGTACTACAAGGATTGCTGCATGCTGGCTTCGAGTGAAGATGGCCTTGCAAAGGCATTTACAGCTGCACAGCTTGGAAGCTCGGATGACACGGAGCACGAGGAGCCATGTGCGCTTATCACTCAGATGAAGATCATTGTCGACAAGTTCGACAACAGCACGAAGTCCGTTGGTGCCACATCTGCGGCTCCTGCTCCGAGTTTGCTCCAAAGCCTGGCCAAGGCTTCTGAAGCTGACACACCCGAGGAATGTGTCGAGCGTGAGCGGCAGTGGAAGGCGGTGCAAACGGAACGCCGCAAGTTCGTGTCGTTCTCGGTACCGAACAAGATCTCGAAGGACTGCCTAGTCAATGCGTTCAGAGGTTTCGGCAAGGTCTTCACGCACAAGGGCACCTTAAACTCTTCGCACCGCCTGATCGTTGCCAGTGCGGATCTCTTGGCAGAGGCTGGTACCGACCCGTGGCTCAAGGGCACGCCGCCAAGCGAGGAATGGAAAGAGATCTGTGCCTTTGCCAAAGACATTTCTGGGCCCGAGGATTTCGTCGTACTCTTCGACGGCAGAATGCGGGAAATTCGCCGCGTGTCCGAGTCTTGGCGGGGTGATGTGACAAGGCTCCCAGGCTCCAAGGCTCAAAGGCTGCACCTGGTTCTTTAAGGAAGACCTCCTGCTGAACCAGCAGCACACCGCGGAGTGCACCATCGTGTACTCAGGTGGGTGCCCGCCGAGAACTGGTCGCACTCGCCGCGTTCCGCTGGCTGCAAAGAAGGTGGAGACAGGAGCGGTTAAGTTCCCGGTCGCACGCACCAAGATTCAGACGACGAAGAAAGGCTCCTTCACAGGCTGCGGCGAGGCTTCTACGTACCAAGGCACTTACTCAGGCGTGGAGTACCGTGCGGTTTCTGAAATGCCCCTCGTGTCTGCAGACACCAAGAAGAAGATCATTGCTCCGGCAACAACCGGCGACCTCCCGACACCGCCAGAGGACTGGCAGGATCGCCACGGCTCCGCCGTACCCTTGTTCTGGAACGAGTCGAAGCCGATAGCATATTGGAATGCCATCATTGAGGAGTTTTGCGCGGAGGCAGTGTTTGACCTCACGGCTGGCACCGGTGCTCTGATGGAGGCATCTTTGACTGCCGGCATCGCATACCACGGGCTTTGCAGCACCCTTACTTGTCCAGTAGATTCGTCAGATCATTGTCATTTGATTTTATTTAAATTATCCGAGGCCTCAACAAGGAGCACATGTCGTGGGTCCAGGTGGTTGCTGATCGCGCAGCTTGCGGAATGATGGCTTTGGAGGGATCCACTCTTTACTCGGACGAGAATGCCAAGGCGGTGAAGAAGCATTTCCCGCACGTTCTGGAGAGCTTGTCCAACCAAGACGACCAGGACGAGGCACCTGCTGAGCCAGATAGCCCCCGCGATCAACCGCAGTGATGATGTTTCACTTCGACCGAATCCGCCAGCTCAGGCACCAGCTCAGGCACCTAGGCTCCCAGGTTCTCAGGCTCTTGACCTTTTGCCGGGCTCAGTTTTGTCAGTACTGTGTAGCAGTGACTACTGTCGCCTGAAAAAGCCGAAATGCTCTTATTGTGGCATGACATTGAAATAGGACTCGCCGAGGATGTTGTTGTAGTCGCCTGAATGCATTAAAGCGAGCCGTTATGGCCCCAGGTTCCCAGGCTCTGAGGTTCCCTGCTTGGGTGCGACATGGGCTGCCGATGGAGGCCTACCAGACGCCTCTGGGGCAAAACCAGTCTCAAGACGGCTTCTCGTCGGATGCCCCGGGGGTGCCAGCATGGTGGCAGCAAATCGCAGAGCTTGCGGAAGCAGGCTGTGAAAGACGGCTTGGTCCCCAAGGCTCGAAGGGCCTTCGTCATCTGGTTCCAGGAAAACTCCGAAGTCAAGAAAGGCGCTCCCAAGCACGAGTTTCTCAATGAGATGAAGCATCTTGGCGCAGTCTGGCAGGGCATGACCGACAAGCAGAAGGCACCATTCATGGCGAGGAGCAAAGATGAGTTCATGGCTCAGCGAAGTGCACTGGCCGTTCTTGGCATCAGTATGCGGGGCTCCACGACCAGTGCGGGCGGCCCCGACGAGGCGAAGGACCCCCCTGCCGCTGACGAATCTGGCGGTCGCGTTGGCCCATTTGAGCTTAATGGTGCAAGGGCTCCAATTGGAGGCGGAGCCTATGGCAGTGTCTACAGTTGCCAGCATCCGCAAAGCGGCCTTAACCTGGCGGTGAAGGTTTATCGTGGCTCCGATGGCCCCGCGGATTGCAGGCACGAAGTGGAGCAGATGAAGCTTCTAATGAAGGCCGTTCCGCAGCAGAAGATGATGCGGTTCCCGCTTCTTGTCAGCTCGGGTGTCACGGGCAGACCTTGGCCATGGATGGCTACTAGCCTATGTGGGCCCAGCCTGGCAACCGCACTTCGAAATCCTGCGGCGCATGGCAAGCCGAGGACGTGGTCTGTGGCAGCTCAGCTGAGAAGTGCACTGCAGACCTTGCATGACGCAGGCATCCTACACTTGGATGTGAAACCTGGCAATGTTCTTTGGTGCCCTTGCACAGATCAGGTGCAGGTGTGCGACTTCGGCATGAGTGAGAACATGGCACGGCTCCAGAAGGCTTCTCATGCTCCCAGGTTCCTGCAGTATGTCACGGCTGCCTATCGACCTCCGGAGCTGTGGCCCGCTCGTGTGAATGGCGATGGGGACTGCGGTGTCAGAAAGCAGCTGCTGACTGCAGCTGTGGATATGTGGGCCTATGCTTGCGTGGTGTTTGAGGTGGAGACCGGGAATCCCTTCATGCCCAAGGGGGAGGCCGGACTGAGAGCGTGGTGCAAGCAGTGGCCCGAGCTGTGGAAAACACGCAGCGACTTATCCAATTGCCCCGCTGCAAGTCACACGTGCTGCACAAAGGTGCTTCGAGCCGGTAAATGGGGGCTGTTTGTGTTGGTCGGCTGTGCTCCAGACCCCGGAAAGCGGCGGTGGCCGGAGCTCTGTCTGAATCAGAAATGACTCGACTGAGCCTCCATTTTTATTTGATGATGGCTCGTATGGTTTAACGTGTGTTTAGAGTCGGTTAAAGGGTTTCAGGGTTAGTTAGTAGGGTGTGACTTTCATAGCCTTCGTGTGTTCAGTTAGCAGCATATCCGAGCATGGGGGCAAGATTGCATGCAATGTGAGATGCAGTGAGTTGCCTCGTTGTAACCGATTCCGCACAGTGCCGTGCGTTGCATCTTGCCGAAGTGGTGAAGTGCGTCGTGACAAGCTGTTTGCAGGGCGTGTCGCGGCTACCAGGTTCCCAGGCTCCAAGGTCTGGCGCCAGACTGGCTGGGATCCCTAATTCAATTATTTTAATTCTCAGCGCGGGGGTTGTCCGAAAAAGCAGAGGCCAGTGTCGTGAGTCATGTGAACGCACCCAAATTCCACATGTAACCTGGTTCACATGTCGTTCTTTGCAGGCAGGGAGATGGGCAAGCGTGGTCCACGGCCGCAGCGCCAAGGAAGCTGTCAGGACCCGTGCTGCGTTGGACAGTCAAGTTTAATTAATTTGACAGCGGATCTTGGCTGTCGCCAGGATGATTCGATGCTGCGAGGGACCGCATCGACATCGACCCATCGTCGTCAAGGCCACAAGGTTTAGTTTCAAAGCACCCTGCCCTCATGTACGTTTGTGTTCTACTGCTTCTGGCCTTGAATCTGCCTCGCTGCAGACAGCTCGGTACGACCAGGCATGCTGAGTGAAGAACCTGACTGGAATGAGACCCTCTTTCAGCGAAAGAGAGTCAAGATGCAGGCTCCAAGGCTCCAAGGCTGTGAAATGAAAAGGGGGACCCTGCCTCTGGCTCCCGGCCAAGCCTAACTGTGGTCGAAATGTTTTTTCTTCAACGGGGGACCCTCCGTGGCCTCTGGCTCCGGGCCAAGCCTAACTGTGGTCAAAATGAAAGGGGGACCCTCCTTGAAGCCTAACTGTGGTCAAAATGAAAGGGGGACCCTCCTTGGCCTCTGGCTCCGGGCCAAGCCTAACTGTGGTCAAAATGAAAGGGGCACCCTCCTTGGCCTCTGGCTCCGGGCCAAGCCTAACTGTGGTCAAAATGAAG